CGCAGCTTGGGCCTGCCGTGTACTCCGAGGCGTCGTGGAACCCTAACAACGGCTTTCGGGGAAAACCCTATTGAACGCTCGCTACGTCCAGTTGTCCAGGCTTCGCACAGAGAAGCGAGCGACTAGCGATCAAGATGGGCCGGCCCAGTCACGAGATAGCACAGGCGCTACAGCGTCCCGCGGTTTTGGGAACCTTCTGGAGGGTTTCTTTGGGAACCTTCTGGAAGGTTCTTGAACCGGGTTTTCATTGGTTTTTTCTGTTTGCTTTTTCTTTATAGTTTTTTCTTTCTTCGTTTTTCTGTTTCTTTATTTCATCTTTCAATTCCTTTTTCTTTTCTTTTTATTTTCTTTTTGTTCATGTTTCAAGTTATGTTTGGGAGTTTCAAAAAATAATCCAATTTCAAAATTTGTTCACCAAATTCAAAAAATGTTCATGTTTTCAAATTTTGCTGCGAGTTTCCATAAATGTTTCCATTTAAAAAATTGTTCGCAAATTGCAAAAGATGTTCATGCTTCAATTTTTGTTCGGGAGTTTTGAAAAAAATGTACGCAAGTTTTAAAAACTGTTCATGTGTTCAAGTTTTGTTTGGGAGTTTCAAAAAATGTTCCAAGTTTTAAATAATGTTCAACTATCCAAAATTTGTTTTAGAATTTGAAAAATGTTCGGGTCTTGGGAGACTTTACAAAAATGTTCCCATTTCCAAAAATTGTTTGCATTTTTCGAATTGTTGAGTTTTTACAAATTTTGTTCTCAATTTCTAAAAGTGTTCGCTGTTTCATACAACCTTCATGTTTTTTTCTCAAAAATAGCGTTTCTCAAAAATGTTCGCACTTCCAATTTTTTTTGGAATTTTTCAAAATTGTTCTCTAATTTAAAATATGTTCTCAAGAAACAAAAAATGTTCGCGCTTTACAAAATTGTTCATGCTTCCAAATTTGTTCAGGATTTTTCAAAATTGTTCTTCGTTTCAAAATTTGTTCTCAAGGTTCAAAAAATGTTTGTGCTTCAAAAAATAATCCGCGCTTCCAAATTTGTTCTCAAGATTCAAAAATCGTTCATTCTTCATAAAAATGTTCACAAACTCCAAAAATGTTCAATTTCCGAAAAATGTTTGGGAAATTCAAACTTTTCGGTTTTCATAAAATTTGTTCACATGTTCAAAAAATGTTCATGTTTCCAAATGTGTTTACATATTCAAAAAATTGTCCACATGTTTATTTTTTTTACTAATTCAAAAAATTGTTCCTGTTTCCGAAATTTGATCACATATTCCAAAAAATATGTGAACAATGAAATTTACAAGCTCTATGTCAAAAAATATTCCAAAAATTTGTTCACATGTTAAAATACTGTAGGATGATTTACAAGCTCTACGTCAGAAATTTCTTTTTGAGATTGTAACATGCAAGGACAATGAATTTCAGCTGTCGTTAGGAATTTCTTTCCTGCAGAGACATGTAAGTTCTCTATTTTTTTCTCTCCTATGGAAACAAAAGAGATGTTATTTTCTTAGAGCCTGTTCTGTCATACCGAACAGTGAAATTAATTTCTTCTAATCGCGTATATGTTTCTTCTAATTCTTCTTTCTATTCTCAAGGGCCTCATTAATACTGTCACCTTCAAGGGAAGTGCACTGCAAGATTCAACTCAAAGGAATACTTCCATGGGAAAAATGTTTCCTTACCGATAGAGCTATCTTTTTTTTCTCTTGCTGATCTAGTGATAGTTTCTTCCAAGACTTTCAACTGTAAACAATGTCCGAAAACAGCTGAAACAGTTTTGAAAACGAGCAGTAAGACATGTACATTTTTTTTGTCTTTCATGACGCCTTGGTGATACTATCATCACTCAATTTCATCAAGATGTAAGCTTACCACTTTTATGACAGTTTTAGAAGTACCACTTTGTAATAAATGTAAAATGAAATTTCATGTTTTTTATAATTAAAAACTAGTTGAATCAATAGGAACAACACCTGGTTTCATAAAAATGGAACCTACAACCATTGTTTAGTAAATTCAAGGTTTTTGTCTTTCATGTTTCTTTGGGAAACAGTTGAAACTGTACCATTGTTTAGTTTATACAAGGAAAACAGAAGAAACAGTAGAAACAGAAGAAACAGTGGAAAACAGCAGGGACAACAATCAGTGAAACAGCTTCGCGAAGCAGAATCAACGAAGCGGTAGAAACAGTTCAAAACCAGGGAAACGCGCGCCTCGCGGCCCACAAAGCCCGCCAGTCAGCTGCTCCTGTGCGAAGCCGCACCTAGTTGACGCAGAATGCGTCACATAGGAGTTCCCGGCTTTCGGCTTATCTTTTTCGGTTTTGCTGGTTCTAAGCTATTTCCTCTTATCTAAAATAGATGGCCCAGTTTTATACCAAAGCTGGGTCATCTATTTTGGAACAGAGAGAATAGCTGAGAAATAGTTGGGTCTCAGTCACCTCCATACCCGTTGGATTAAATGTGCTGAGATTTGTGCGTATACAGTTGTCTCACGCTCCTGTTGACGGTTTTGTTACGTGAGCAATGTTGCTGGGCCTTTGTGTGGTAGTTTTTTTATTTCTTTTTTCTTTGTGATGACTACTATGGCTTTTCAACGCTAGTATTTTTCTTCACTTTTTGTTGTTTGTCCTGGGCTATACGCATGTGGGAGAGAAGCTGCAACGAAGCAAGTTTTTTATTTTCATTTTGTTTTCTTGTTGTTATCATATTTTTTCCTCTTTCAATCTTTTCTTTCTTCTCACCCGCAGAAATATTAAATTTTTGTTCTGCTTTAACCTTTCTTTTTATATGTAAACGCTTTGTAAGTAATTTATATTTGAATGAGATTTATCATTATATATTTTTTCGTGTTTTTTTTTTCTCATTTGTGTTCTTCTTGTATTTTTATTATTTTCCTTATTTGTGCGCCGCGGGCCGTGGCTCATAAACAGGCGTGTTTCATTCTCTTGTGCCAAGCAGCTCTTTTTAGGATGTTTAGCGGGCCATTTTTAATTTATGTTTCTCAGGCAAAACACCCCCAGCTGTTTCACGCCCCTCTCCCCATCCTCTGTTCTTCCTCCTGGCATCCACCCCTCCCCACCCCACAGCCCCGCCGCCAGCAAACCCAAGAACCCTAGATCTATAGCAAAATTCAGAGTTTGGGACTTCTCCATAGAGCAGAGGGAGGGGAATCAGTTCTGCAATAAAGAAAAGAAAATGGATGCGGGTGCTGGTAAGAGGGCACACAGGACTCACCATGGTATGGTTTTGATTGCTTCTTTGCTTTGCCTCTTTGGACTTTCTGACTGATTAGACAGCAACCTTGGTCGCTTTGCCGGTGGATTGTCAAGTTGAACTATTCCCTCCGTTTCTTTTTAATCTGCATATAAAATTTGGTCAAAGTTAAGCTTTGTTAAGTTTGACTAACTTTATCTTAAAAAATATCAACATTCACAATACGAAATCAATATTACCTAATGTGTCATGAAATGTATTTTCATACTATATAGTTTTAGTATTTTAGATGTTCATATATTTCCATATAAATTTGGTCGAACTTTGTGTGGTTTGACTTTGACCAAATCTTATACGCGGAGTAAAAAAAACGGAGGGAGTACAAGCAGCACGTACCTTAAGCAGAGAACGATCGGGCATCCAGGCTCCATGCGATACACCGCTCCCGCCGCCTGCGTCGGTTGCAGAGCCAACACGGGGGACATCGTGTGCCTGGACACCGCCGGCGGCAAGAGCACTTGAGCTCAAAGTGGCGGAGACATGGCTAGCAGAGCTGCCGCTGGAGGCAGATGCAGACATGTCGGCACACACACCAGGATTTGCATTGCAGGTTAGGTAGTATTGGATATGAAGAGAAGATTTTTGAAGGACATGTCAAATATGTTTCTAAATAAACGAGGAATATTTTTGAAATGTTGGAACATTTCATAGGATACACGCCGACATTTTCAAAATACATGGTCAAAATGTTTGAACGCACTTTTTTTCCCCAAAAATATAGCAAACATACTCTAAATGCGAGTGAACATTTTGTAAGACATACATTGAATTTTGTTTGATACACCATGATCATTTTTTAAACATGTGATGAACATTTGTCTTTTTTGCCTTTTCCGTTTCTTTCTTGGCAAAATACAAACATTTTATGATACATGGACGAGCACATTATAATACATGGGGAACATTTTTTTAATGCATGATGATTATTTTTAAATGCACAATGAATAATTTTAGTAGTACATGATGTTATTAAAGAGATAAATCATGCACATTTAAATACATGGTG